GATTCCTCCAGGTGGGTGTTGTTTGGTTCTGGCTGTGTGCTCCACTTCTTTCTGCTGCAGGCGTTAGAGTTGAACCTTTTGTGTCTCTCTGGGAAGATGTTTTGCTCCTGAATCAGCAGGGTGGGTCTTGCCTCTAGCCTCTTTGCAGGGAGTTCAGCTGAAGGGTTCCCTGCTGGGCCTGTAGCCTGGGTCGAATGAGGATCTGCGGGCCCCTGGTCATCTCACTCACTCGCCGGGCCTGCGCTCCTGGTCTATTCAGGATCCCGCTGGGCCCCAGGACATCTCACTCACTCACTCACGGGGCCTGCGCACTGGGTCTAATCAGGATCCCGCAGCCCAGTCGTCTCACTCACTCGCAGCCGGGCCTGCGCTCTGGGTCTATTCAGGATCCAGAGGGCCCCAGGTCGTCTCCTGATTCACACTTTTCTCCAAGTGCAGCACACACTCTTGTGCAGCTCCAAGAGGAACTGATTCATACTTTTCTCCAAGTGCTCCATCATGTACAACCCATTCTCCCAGTCATCATGGTCTGGTTTCTTGATATCCTGAAGGAAGATCTGGCCACTGCACTGGTTCTGCAGCTTCATTAGCTTCTCAGCATGCTCTCTCTCCTCATAAGATTGGTGAAGAAAGTATTTGGTAAAGTTCTTCAAAGGCATATCATCACAGTCACAGTAGTAAGACAAGGACAGGTACACATAGGAGGCGTAGAGTTCCAGGTTGATCTGGTGGTTGACCGAGGCCTGGGCATCCTGGTGATAGATCTGGCGCACTTTGCAAGGGTGAGGCGGAGGTCATGGTGGTGGCATGGAGGCTGGGCTACATAGGTGGTGCGGGGGGTGGGGTGTGCGAGGGGGCAGGCGAGGGCCAAGCTCCATTCAAACACTGTAGGAGCAGGAGACCATGGCAACGCTCTTTGAGAACTCACCAGTTTTTCTTACAAATGTTAATATTGATTTTCCTGTTAGATCAGTCTCTATTATAGTAATAAATCCAGTTCAACACCGAAAGGGATCCCTCCCTGAGCGTTTTCCTCCCCTATAGTAGGCCACTTCCTCACTACTACTCTATGTGCGAAAGCTAACCAGCAGCACTTGGCTTCTGTCCCAGCACCCTCCTCCCACAGCACCAGGTTCAGCATATTCTCAGCCATACAACAGGAATCACAGAGCTCTTATATTACTTTAGAGGCTAAAACATCTCTTAAATTTAATCAGTTGTATTTATGCAAATTCTTTTTAGCAAAGCTAACAAAATATAACTTTATGTATTTGATACAGGGTCTCACTGTGCAGCTCTAACTCAGTGATCCTCCTGTTTTCAGCCCTCTCAGCTCTGGGATTACAGGCATGAGCCATCACAGTCAGGCTCAGTAGCCAGTTCAGCATGCCTAGGGGCTGGGCCAGCACGGCCTGTGGTGCCCAGGATTAAGCCCCGGTCCCTGAGCTTCATCTGCTGAGCTATCGCCAGACCTACGTTAGTTTTTAAAACTGGGTAAGAGGGGCTGGTGAGATGGCTCAGTGGTCTAAAGCACCTACTTAGAACAAGCTTAGCAAAGCACAGGGACCGGGATTCAATCCCCCAGCACCACATGCCAGTCAGCCCCGCCCCCCTGGTGGGCTGAGCTGGCCACACACACA